GATCACAGGCATTTTTTCCCACTTCCTTTAAAAAATCTTGAAGGAACCTCTTGAACTTTCCGACGTAGCTCAGGAAAATTTTTAATGGAGTTTAAAAAGGTATCTTTTCAAAAAGAACCCTATACTTAAGGATTCCAGATATTAATAAAACATTTTGTTTAAGAACTGATGCCTCCAACACTGGCTTAGGTGCAGTGTTACTACAATACCATGATGGTACTCCCTTCCCTGTATGCTTCCTAAGCCAGAAACTCCTTTCCCGCAGAAACGAGTTTACTCCACCATAGAAAAGGAATGTTTGGCCCTTGTGTGGGGTATCCCCCAAACTTAAATTTTATTTGCTGGGAAAAAAATTCATTTTAGAAAATGGACCACAAACCTTTGATATACTAGAAACTTTTAAGGGAAAACCAGTCACTTGGGGTGGACAATGGGCACTCCAGGCTTTTAAGTTCCATATTGTGTAAAATCAATGCTTCATCCAATTATTTCTCTGACTGGTTAAGTCGTGACGTCAGCAGAAGATTTGTTTGCCTTACACGACTTCCACATGTTAGAACTTTTTCTTTGCCTATTCTTCTTATACTCCTTGACTATAAGTTTGGTATGGGGGAGTGTGAGGAAAAGTTCAATAGATAGGATTAGCGAGGGAGTATATAGTAAACAATATTTTCATTGCCGGCTATTGTTAGGGAGGGTCAGTCTTGCTCCCACTATCCCCTTTTCCTCCCTCTTCCCCCCCCCCCCCCGAAAGGTGACGTGTGGGGCCCGGTCAATCAGTAAATCACTCGGCTCACAGCTCCCAACAGTACTGTAAGTACATGCCTGATCATATTTTAGGGGGACTTATTGGTTGAAGCTTCACTTTTTACCAATAAAATTAAAATTAGTCTTTTCAGTCTTGATAGGTTAAATGTTTAATAATCACCCCACTTTTAGGTATTGTATTGTAATGGAGAGTGATTTCTTAAGCAGTGGGTAATCTGTCTCTCTTTACAGTTGAAATGAAAAGAGAGGGTCACCTGCCAATCAACGAGTAGAATTGAAGGAGACGGACTAACGTTCTGAGACGTCCCAATTTTTTGATTTCCATTACCTGTTTGTGTATGCAAGTAGCAGGAAAATAACCCCTCATCATTGCAGTGGAAAAAACCCGCTTTCCTATCGTCTGGATGGATTATTGATGGCTATAAAAACTGTGAAGAACGAGCCAGTGGGTTGTCACCAACACCTGCGACCCCCCATCATCAGCAAAGGCTACGATTTCAACAACACGCAGTGTCACCAACACCAGACACCCAAGTTTTATATATATATTATTAGTGTTGAATTCAGTTATCATTTATATTTTTCATTTTTCATTTTTTTTAATGTAGGATTAATATTTCATATTTAAGTGTTTTATATTTTATATTTTCTAAATAAATTGTTTATGTTTGTCAGTTTTTGTTCTTTTTCTATTCATTAATTTTTCTGAGGAGGAGCCAGCTTTGATAATACTGTCTGAAGTTGTTACAGGGCTGAGTAAGCCTTCTCAACCCCCTCCCTCCAACCTTTCCTAGGTCGACCCCTTCCCCGCCTTCCTTCCACTACAGACTGATACACTCTTGAAGTCATTCTGTTTCGCTCCATTCTCTCTACATGTCCGAACCACCTCAACAACCCTTCCTCAGCCCTCTGGACAACAGTTTTGGTAATCCTGCACCTCCTCCTAACTTCCAAACTACGAATTCTCTGCATTATATTCACACCACACATTGACCTCAGACATGCCATCTCCACTGCCTCCAGTCTTCTCCTCGCTGCAGCATTCATCACGCATGCTTCACACCATATAAGAGCGTTGGTAAAACTATACTCTCATACATTCCCCTCTTTGCCTCCAAGGACAAAATCCTTTGTCTTCCCAGACTCCTAAGTACACCACTCACCCTTTTCCCCTCATCAATTCTATGATTCACCTCATCTTTCATAGACCCATCCACTGACACGTCCACTCCCAAATATCTGAATACATTCACCTCCTCCATACTCTCTCCCTCCAATCTGATATCCAATCTTTCATCACAGAATCTTTTTGTTATCCTCATAGCCTTACTCTTTCCTGTATTCACTTTTAATTTTCTTCTTTTGCACACCCTACCAAATTCATCCACCAATCTCTGCAACTTCTCTTCAGAATCTCCCAAGAGCACAGTGCTATCAGCAAAGAGCAACTGTGACAACTCCTATTTTATGTGTGATTCTTTATCTTTTAACTCCACGCCTCTTGTCAAGACCCTCGCATTTACTTCTCTTACAACCCCATCTATAAATATATTAAACAACCACGGTGACATCACACATCCTTGTCTAAGTCCCACTTTTACTGGGAAATAATTTCCCTCTTTCCTACATACTCTAACTTGAGCCTCACCATCCTCGTAAAAACTCTTCACTGCTTTCAGTAACCTACCTCCTACACCATACACTTGCAACATCTGCCACATTGCCCCCCTATCCACCCTGTCATACGCCTTTCCCAGATCCATAAATGCCACAAAGACCTCTTTAGCCTTATCTAAATACTGTTCACTTATATGTTTCACTGTAAACACCTGGTCCACACACCCCCTACCTTTCCTAAAGCCTCCTTGTTCATCTGCTATCCTATTCTCCGTCTTACTCTTAATTCTTTCAATAATAACTCTACCATACACTTTACCAGGTATACTCAACAGACTTATCCCCCTATAATTTTTCACTCTCTTTTGTCTCCTTTGCCTTTATACAAAGGAATTCTGCATACTCTCTGCCAATCCCTAGGTACCATACCCTCTTCCATACGTTTATTAAATAATTGCACCAACTACTCCAAAACTATATCCCCACCTGCTTTTAGCATTTCTATCTTTATCCCATCAATCCCGGCTGCCTTACCCTCTTTCATTTTACCTACTGCCTCACGAACTTCCCCCACACTCACAACTGGCTCTTCCTAACTCCTACAAGATGTTATTCCTCCTTGCCCTATACACGAAATCACAGCTTCCCTAACTTCATCAACATTTAACAATTCCTCAAAATATTCCCTCCATCTTCCTAATACCTCTAACTCTCCATTTAATAACTCTCCTCTCCTATTTTTAACTGACAAATCCTTCTGTTCTCTAGGCTTCCTTAACTTGTTAATCTCACTCCAAAATTTTTCTTATTTCCAACAAAATTTGTTGATAACATCTCACCCACTCTCTCATTTGCTCTCTTTTTACATTGCTTCACCTCTCTCTTAACCTCTCTCTTTTTCTCCATATACTCTTCCCTCCTTGCATCACTTCTACTTTGTAAAAACTTCTCATATGCTAACTTTTTCTCCCTTATTACTCTCTTTGCATCATTCCACCAATCGCTCCTCTTCCCTCCAGCACCCACTTTCCTGTAACCACAAACTTCTGCTGAACACTCTAACACTACATTTTTAAACCTACCCCATACCTTTCGACCCCATGCCTATGCTCTCATTAGCCCATCTATCCTCCAATAGCTGTTTATATCTTTCCCTAACTGCCTCCTCTTTTAGTTTATAAACCTTCACCTCTCTCTTCCCTGATGCTTCTATTCCTTGTATCAACATTTTACCTTTTTCTCTCAGTGTAGCTACAACTAGAAAGTGATCTGATATATCTGTGTCCCCTCTATAAACATGTACATCCTGAAGTCTACTCAACAGTCTTTTATCTACCAATACATAACCAACAAACTACTGTCATTTCGCCCTACATCATATCTTTTATACTTATTTATCCTCTTTTTCTTAAAATATGTATTACCCATAAAATAAACCCCTTTCTATACAAAGTTCAATCAAAGGGCTCCCATTATCATTTACACCTGGCACCCCAAACTTACCTACTACACCCTTATTAATAATATTATTATTATTGTTATTATTATTGTTGTTATAATTTTTATTATTATTATTATTATTATTATTATTATTATTATTTATTATTATTATTATTATTATTGTTGTTGTTGTTGTTTTTGTTATAATTATTATTATTATTAAAATTTTTTATTATTATTATTATTATTATTATTTATTATTATTATTACTGTTGCTGTTGTTGTTGTTATTATTATTATTATTAAAAATTTTATTATTATTATTATTATTATTTTATGATTGTTGTTGTTTAATTATTATTATTATTATTTTTATTATTGTTGTTTTTTATATTATTATTATTGTTATTATTATTTTATTTTATATTATTATTATTATTATTTTAATGGTAAAATATTTTTGATAAGCGATGCGTAGGTGTTATGAAGGCCTTGCGTGTGTACAAAATGATAGATGAAGACAGTAATAAGTTGTTGTTCAGTGTCACCAGACAGCAGATGGTGGTGGGGTCAGTACTAATTTTGTTGTTTTCAGTGCTCACCCGACCCCCAGATGGTGGGGGATAGTACAAACTTGTTTTGTTTTAGTGCTCAAAGACCAGGAATGGGGTGGATCAGTACATAATTGTTGTTTTTACGTGTCACCAGCCAGCAGATGGGGGGGTTGGGTCAGACTAACTTGTTGTTTTTTAAGTGCTCACCAGACCACAGATGGTGGTGGATGTACAAATTGTTGTTGTTACAGTGCCCCAGACCAGAGATGTGGTGGATCGACTAACTTGTTGTTGTTACGTGCCACCAGACCAGGAGATGGGGGTGGGTCATAATAAATTTTGTTGTTACAGTGTCACCAGACCAAGATGGTGGTGGATAGTACATAACTTTTGTTGTTTCAGTGCCCACCAACCAGAAAATGGTGGTGGATCGTAATACTTGTTGTTGTTACAGTGCTCACCAGACAGGGTTTGGTGGTGGATCAGTACATAACTTGTTGTTGTTACAGTGCTCACCAGACCAGGAGATGGTGGTGGATCAGTACATAACTTGTTGTTGTTACAGTGCTCACCAGACCAGGAGATGGTGGTGGATCAGTACATAACTTGTTGTTGTTACAGTGCTCACCGGACCAGGAGATGGTGGTGGATCGTCACCACAAAAATAAGAACATCATCTTTGCTTGTGGCTTCTCAGGTGAGTTGTTGTGTTGTCTGTAATATTTCTGCTGCTGCCTCTGAGGTGAATATATCGTATCTTGTGTGTGGTTGTTACTGGTGGTATTGTAGCCTCTGCTCTGACTGGTGCTCAAGTTGTGTGTGGTTGTTACTGGTGGTATTGTAGCCTCTGCTCTGACTGGTGCTCAAGTTGTGTGTGGTTGTTACTGGTGATATTGTAGCCTCTGCTCTGACTGGTGCTCAAGTTGTGTGTGGTTGTTACTGGTGTATTTTTAGCCTTGCTCTGACTGGTGCTCAAGTTGTGTGTGGTTGTTACTGGTGATATTGTAGCCTCTGCTCTGACTGGTGCTCAAGGTTGTGGTATGGTTGTTAATGGTGATATTGTAGCCCTTGCTCTGACTGGTGCTCAAGTTGTTTTGGGGTTTGTTACTGGAGGTTATTGTAGCCTCTGCTCTAAACTGGTCCCTCAAGTTGTGTGTGGTTGTTTATGGTGGTATTGTAGCCTCTGCTCTAACTGGTGTTTCAAGTTGTGTGTGGTTGTTACTGGTGGTATTGTAGCCTTTCTGCTCTAACGGTGCTCAGTTGTGTGTGGTTGTTACGGGTTTGATATTGTAGCCTCTGCTCTGACTGGTGCTCAAGTTGTGTGTGGTTGTTACTGGTGATATTGTAGCCTCTGCTCTGACTGGTGCTCAAGTTGTGTGTGGTTGTTACTGGTGATATTGTAGCCTCTGCTCTGACTGGTGCTCAAGTTGTGTATGGTTGTTACTGGGGGTATTGTTAGCTCTGCTCTGACTGGTGCTCAAGTTGTGGGTTGTTACTGGAGGTATTGTAGCCTCTGCTCTAATGGTGCTAAAGTTGTTTTGTGGTTGTTACTGGTGGTATTGTAGCCTCTGCTCTAACTGGTGCTCAAGTTGTGTGTGGTTGTTACTGGTGGTATTGTAGCCTCTGCTCTAACTGGTGCTCAAGTTGTGTGTGGTTGTTACTGGTGGTATTGTAGCCTCTTTGCTCAAAACTGGTGCAAAAGTTGTGTGTGGTTGTTACTGGTGGTATTGTAGCCTCTGCTCTAACTGGTGCTCAAGTTGTGTGTGGTTGTTACTGGTGGTATTGTAGCCTCTGCTCTGACTGGTGCTAAGTTTGTGTGTGGTTGTTACGGGTTTGGTATTGTAGCCTCTGCTCTAACTGGTGCTAAAGTTGTGTGTGTGGTTGTTACTGGTGGTATTGTAGCCTCTGTTTCAAACTGGTGCTAAAGTTGTTGTGTGGTTGTTATGGTGGTATTGTAGCCTCTGCTCTAACTGGTGCTAAAGTTGTGTGTGGTTGTTACTGGTGGTAATTGTAGCCTCTGCTTGATGGTGCTCAAGTTGTGTGTGGTTGTTTTTGGTGATATTGTAGCCTCTGCTCTGACTGGTGCCAAGTTGTGTGTGGTTTGTAATAGTGATATTGTAGCCTCTGCTCTGACTGGTGCTCAATTTTGTGTGTGGTTGTTCGGGTTTGATTGTAGCCCTCTGCTCTGACTGGTGCTCAAGTTGTGTGTGGTTTTTTTATAGTGATATTGTACCCTCTGCTCGACTGGTGCTCAAGTTGTGTGTGTGGTTACTGGTGATTGTAGCCTCTGCTCTGATGGGGGCTCAAGTTGTGTGTGGTTGTTACTGGGGGTATTGTATGGCTCTCCCTCTGTCTGGTGCTCAAGTTGTGTGTGGTTGTTACTGGAGGTATTGTACCCTTTTGCTCTGACTGGTGCTCAAGTTGTGTTATGGTTGTTACTGGTGGTTTTGTAGCCTCTGCTCTGACTGGTGCTCAATTTGTGTTTTGGGGTTGTTACTGGTGGTATTGTAGCCTCTGCTCTAATGGTGCTCAAGTTGTGTTGGTCTTTAAACTGGTGATATTGTGCCTCTGCTCTAACTGGTGCTCAAGTTTGTATGGTTGTTACTGGTGGTATTGAGCCTCTGCTCTAACTGGTGCTCAATTTTGTGTTATGGTTGTTACTGGTGGTATTGTAGCCTTGCTCTAACTGGTGCTCAATTTTGGGTGTATGGTTGTTACTGGTGGTATTGTAGCCTCTGCTCTGACTGGTGCTCAAGTTGTGTTGGTTGTTACTGGTGGTATTGTAGCCTCTGCTCTAACTGGGGGCTCAAGTTGTGTATGGTTGTTACTGGTGGTATTGTAGCCTCTCCCTCTATTGGTGCTCAAAGTTGGTATGGTTGTTATGGTGGTATTGTAGCCTCTGCTCTAACGGGGTGCTCAAGTTGTGTAATGGTTGTTACTGGGGGTTTATTGTAGCCTCTGCTCTAACTGGTGCTCAAGTGTTGTGTGGTTTGTCACGGGTGTAATATTGTAGCCTCTGCTTGACTGGTGCTCAAGTTGTGTATGGTTGTTACTGGTGGTATTGAAAGCCTCTGCTTTTAACTGGTGCTCAAGTTGTGTGTGTGGTTGTTATGGTGATATTGTAGCCTCTGCTCTGACTGGTGCTCAAGTTGTGTATGGTTGTTACTGGTGATATTGTAGCCTCTGCTCTGACTGGTGCTCAAGTTGTGTGTGGTTGTTACTGGTGGTATTGTAGCCTCTGCTCTAACTGGTGCTCAAGTTGTGTGTGGTTGTTACTGGTGATATTGTAGCCTCTGCTCTAACTGGTGCTCAAGTTGTGTATGGTTGTTACTGGTGATATTGTAGCCTCTGCTCTGACTGGTGCTCAAGTTGTGTATGGTTGTTACTGGTGATATTGTAGCCTCTGCTCTAACTGGTGCTCAAGTTGTGTGTGTTGTAACTGGTGATATTTTTAGCCTCTGCTCAACTGGTCTCAAGTTGTGTATGGTTGTTGCTGGTGATATTTTTAGGCCTCTGCTCTGACTTGGTGCTAAAGTTGTGTATGGTTGTTACTGGTGATATTGTAGCCTCTGCTCCGACTGGTGCTCAAGTTGTGTATGGTTGTTACGGGTGATATTGTAGCCTCTGCTCTGTCTGGTGCTCAAGTTGTGTATGGTTGTTACTGGTGATATTGTAGCCCCCTGCTCTGACTGGTGCTCAAGTTGTGTATTGTTGTTTACTGGTGTTATTGTAGCCTTGCTCTGACTGGTGCTCAAGTTGTGTGTGGTTGTTACTGGTGGTATTGTAGCCTCTGCTCTAAATGGGGGCTCAAGTTGTGTATGGTTGTTAGTGGTTGGTATTGTAGCCTCTGCTCTAAGTGGTGCTCAAGTTGTGTATGGTTTTACTGGTGATATTGTAGCCTCTGTCAAAACTGGTGCTCAAGTTGTGGTGTGGTTGTTTACTGGTGGTATTGCAGCCTTGCTCAAACTGGTGCTCAAGTTGTGTGTGGTTGTTATGGTTGGTATTGTAGCCTCTGCTCTATGTTGGGGGCTCAAGTTGTGTATGGTTGTTACTGGGTGGTATTGTAGCCTCGCTCTTCTAACTGGTGCTAAGTTGTGTATGGTTGTTGCTGGTGGTATTGTAGCCTCTGCTCTGACTGGTGCTCAAGTTGTGTGTGGTTGGGTTTACTGGTGGTTTTGTACCTCTGCTCTGAATGGTGCTCAAGTTGTGTGGGTTGTTACGGGTGGTATTGTTACCTCTGCTCTAACTGGTGCTCAAGTTGTGTATGGTTGTTACTGGTGGTATTGTAGCCTCTGCTCTGACTGGTGCTCAAGTTGTGTGTGGTTGTTACTGGTGATATTGTAGCCTCTGCTCTGACTGGTGCTCAAGTTGTGTATGGTTGTTACTGGAGATATTGTAGCCTCTGCTCTGACTGGTGCTCAAGTTGTTTTTATGGTTGTTACTGGTGATATTGTAGCCTCTGCTCTGACTGGTGCTCAAGTTGTTTTTGTGGTTTTTTAAACTGGTGGTATTGTAGCCTCTGCTCTGACTGGTGCTCAAGTTGTGTATGGTTGTTACTGGTGGTGATTGTAGCTCTGGCTCTGACTGGTGCCAAGTTGTGTTTATGGTTGTTACTGGTGGTATTGTAGCCTTTCTGCTCTGACTGGGGGCTCAAGTTGGTATGGTTGTTACTGGTGGTATTGTAGCCTCTGCTCTGACTGGTGCTCAAGTTGTGTGTGGTTGTTACTGGTGGTATTGTAGCCTCTGCTCTGACTGGTGCTCAAGTTGTTTATGGTTTGTTACGGTGGTATTGTAGCCCTTGCTCTGACTGGTGCTCAAGTTGTGTATGGTTGTTAATGGTGGTATTGTAGCCTCGCTCTGACTGGTGCTCAAGTTGTGTAGGGTTGTTACTGGAGGTATTGTAGCCTCTGCTCTGAACTGGTGCTCAAGTTGGGGTGGTTGTTACTGGTGGTATTTAGCCTCTGCTCTAAACTGGTGCTCAAGTTGTGGATGGTTGTTACTGGTGGTATTTTTGCCTCTGCCCCTGCTTGGTGCTCAAGTTGTGTGTGGTTGTTACTGGTGGTATTGTAGCCTCTGCTCTGACTGGTGCTCAAGTTGTGTATGGTTGTTACTGGTGGTATTGTAGCCTCTGCTCTGACTGGTGCTCAAGTTGTGTATGGTTGTTACTGGTGGTATTGAAAGCCTCTGCTCTGACTGGTGCTCAAGTTGTGTGTGGTTGTTACTGGTGGTATTGTAGCCTCTGCTCTGACTGGTGCTCAAGTTGTGTATGGTTGTTACTGGTGGTATTGTAGCCTCTGCTCTGACTGGTGCTCAAGTTGTGTATGGTTGTTACTGGTGGTATTGTAGCCTCTGCTCTGACTGGTGCTCAAGTTGTGTATGGTTGTTACTGGTGGTATTGTAGCCTCTGCTCTGACTGGTGCTCAAGTTGTGTGTGGTTGTTACTGGTGATATTGTAGCCTCTGCTCTGACTGGTGTAAAGTTGTGTAGGGGTTGTTACTGGTGGTATTGTAGCCTCTGCTCTAAATGGTGCTCAAGTTGTGTGTGGTTGTTACTGCTCCTGTGTCTTCCTCTGCTCTAACTGATACTGATGATGTATTGCAGTTGTTGATACTACTTCTGCTGCTGTGATGCAATTATTGCTACTACTGAAGTTTTACTAATAATGTTAGCTCAACACACACACACACACACGCTTTGACTCGACCCCTGCAACCACAAATAAGTGAGTACACACACACACACACCTGTGTGTGTGTGTTT